GGTCGATAATATTCTGATAATTGGTGTTTTTTCAGATGGTGCTGGTTGTATATGGGAGAGCTCCACAAAGCAGTCGGCGGGAAGGCTAGAATTGATGGGAAGCGCATTTAGTGCACTAGATGTGGGGGATTTTATGGTTGAGAATTATCCGTTGAGGGCTCGACACATCATCATGTACACCTATTACATTGTCGTACACTCCCATTTATTACATTATAAAGAGTTGGCAAACTTGCATACTATAGTTGGACTATGTTGGACTTTCGGACCGCGAGAACTTAACCTCAACCGGTGGTAAAGAATCAATATTGAAGACAATGAAATTAAAAAAAAATATTTGTATTTTGGACAACTCACAAAATGCATGTGTCAACCCACTATAGATACATCTTTCAAAATCAGTCAAAATCCACAGGGCTAGCCCGTTTCATACAAACTTAATGTGACAGATGAAAATGTAAAATGATAATCAATTTCATTTCAAACCTACAATACAACAGTCAACTAACACTTTTTTAACTATTATTTTATCTAATAATATTTGAGTATGCATTCATTTTTGTATTTTCTATTTAAAGTATAACGTATATCATCATAACACAAACTGAAATATTTGGCACGAGATTGAGGCGTTTATCCATTTTGTGTATTTTCCCTTTCATTTTCTTTAAATTTTACTTTCACTTTTTGTTGGAAAAACTTAATTAAGACTAACACCGTGCGACGCACGGGTGCACATACTAGTATATATATAGAGCACTTCATATCAGACTGGTCTGACAGCTAGGTCCAACCATAAAATAACAATTGCATATTAAAGTTCAAAGAGTTGCATTCTAAACTTTTTCAATGATTGCCTCATTGGGACTCTCTCTATATATAGAGCAGTTCTATCATTTAGTTGTTCTTTTGAAACTAGGGCCAGCTAGGTTGGGTATCCACTATAGAATTTTTCAATTCATGGGCTTTAGTCTCATTCCTTGTGACAACTTATTCAACAATTCTCTATCCAATGCTTTGATTAGCGAATCCGCTAAATTATCCTTTGACTTCACGTAGTCAACCGTGATGACACCCATTGTGAGAAGTTGTGTAATGGTATTGTCTCTACGACGAGCATGTCTAGACTTACCATTATACATGTTGCTTTGTACCCTTTCAATTTCCGTTTGGCAATCGCAATCTATGCATATTGGAGGGAAATACTTTTCCCAACTTATAATTGTTGGAATAAATCCGATAATACTTTAATCTTCATATTGGAATTATCTAGAGAAGCAAATTAGCAGAAGCGTACCTGACTCCATAGAAGATGATCTTTAGAGATCCGGGTGACGGAGGCTAGGGTTTGCGTTTTCTAGTTGATACACACCCTCAGGAATTATCTCTCTAGCGATGGGATAAAGAAAGACGGAATGAAGTGTTCAACTAGGGACCATAACCCCTCTATTTATAGAGAATGCTTAACCTTAATCAGCCCATCATTAATTAGGTTAAGCCCATGGGTTTCTACACATTTGGGCCCTATACCTTATTAGATAACTTATTAGCCCACTTAAATTAATATCCATAGGACCACTAATTTTTGGACCTAAATATAAGATAGCATATAACATACAATTAAACCCAATAAATAATATGTTGTGAATATTACATGTAGTTTACTAACATACAATTAAATCCAATAATCTAACAATCTCCCACTTGGACGACATACACATATATACACAATCCTTAGCATTGTACGTTTACTTTAGGAGCTCCAAAATTTTGCTATCAAATTGTGGTCATCTTTAATCAATCCGGTCCATTAATCATATAAACATAGGACCAAAGAAGTCTTTGCTATATTTGCATAACTAGACCCATCAATGATCACATATATTAATATAATAAACAAGATGGATCAAGTATAGGTGTGTAGCGTGGATATAACACGAAGTGTGGTCTGGAATAGAATGTCTATTTCCAACTGGTCCACCTTGAGATCAATAATATAACTGTAAGAGTGCATAAAACTTTAAACTTTAAACTTTGTTTCTGCATAAAATATCCTTAAAAACTGAATTAACCAAATATAGAAACATTACAAACTCCCACTAAAACTTATAATCCTCAACTGATTTGACACCCATTCGAGCAACATGCTCATGAAACACTTTGGGTCGCAATCCTTTAGTGAGCGGATCCGCAATCATGGAGTTTGTGATAATGTGTTCTATAGATAATTTTCCTTCTTGTACTCGTTCCTTAACAGCCTTAAATTTGACCCCAATATGTTTTTCCTTGGTCAAACTGTTGTTGTTCTTAACATAAAGGACTGTTGACCTATTGTCACACAATAGCTTAAGTGGTTTTTCAATGTTGTCCACTGTGCGCAGTCCACTAACAAGATCTCGCAGCCATAATGCTTGATTGGATGCCTCATAACATGTTATAAACTCTGCTTCCATGGTGAAAGTAGTTGTAAGAGTCTGTTTGATACTCCTCCCGGAGATAGCTCCTCCAACTAGAATATAGATGTAGCCTGAAGTGGATCTCAAGCTATCTTGACATCCAGCAAAATCAGAGTCGGTAACCCAATGATCTCAAGCTGATCCGATCTCTAATATGTGAACATATATTCCTTTGTTCTCTGTAAATACCGCATGACCCTTTTGGCTTCTTTCCAATGGTCCATTCCCGGATTGCTCATATATCTGCCTAACATCCCAACAATGTATGTTAAATCAGGTCTTGTACAAACCTGAGCGTACATCAAACTTCCTACAACCGAAGCATAAGGAATGTTCCTCATTGCTTTAAATTCAAAACCATTCGTAGGGCACTGCATGAGACTAAACTTGTCTCCCTTAGAAACTGGGGTATCTCCTGGTTTGCAATCTTGCATACCAAACCTTTTGAGAACCTTATCGATATAGCTCTTTTGTGAGAGTCCAAGAACGCCTTTGGGGCGATCTCGGTGTATTTGAATTCCTAATACAAAAGAAGCCTCACCAAGATCTTTCATTTCAAAATTCTTTGACAGAATTCTTTTAGTTTCGTGCAATAAGCCTATATCGTTGCTAGTCAGCAACATGTCATCAACATACAAAACCCGAAAAATATGCTTACTCCCACTGAACTTGTGGTATATACAATCATCATTAACATTTGGTTGAAAACCAAAAGATATTATGACTTTATGAAACTTGTGATACCACTGACGAGAAGCTTGCTTGAGCCCATAGATGGATTTCTTTAATTTGCAAACCATTTTCTTGGGATCTCCCGAAACAAAGTTTTCTGGTTGCTCCATATAGATTGATTCCACAATGTCACCATTGAGAAATGCAGTTTTTACATCCATCTGATGAAGCTCAGGATCAAAATGTGCCACTAATGCCATTATTGTTCTAAAAGAGTCTTTCGAAGATACTGGAGAGAAAGTCTCTTTGTAGTCAATTCCTTTCTTTTGAGTGTATCCTTTAGCAACAAGACGAGCTTTAAACCTTATAGCATTGCCCTTAGAATCCCTCTTGATTTTAAATATCTATTTACAACCATTGGGTTTAATACCTTCAGGCAATGAGACTAGCTCTCAAACGTCATTGTCACTCATAGACTTCATCTCATCTTTCATGGCATTAATTCATTCTTGAGAGTTAGAACTTTCCATAGCTTGACGGAAGTTGATTGGATCATCTTCCACACAACCAACATCTGATTCTTGTTCTTAGAGGAAGATAATTATTTGCTCCACCAATTCCCAATTTTCCTCATGTTCTTGGAGAAATACAATATAATCATCCGGAATTGCATTTCTCCTCTCTCGAGTGGATCTACTTAATGACACCTCAGGTTCTTGAGGTTGTTGCATGAGTTTGATCCTCATTAATACTTTCAGGTACTTAATTAGGGGTGTTATCGAGATTGTCCTGAAGTGGATTTTTTTCTTGAACATCATTAGGAATAAAACTATTCAATTACACCTGAAGGAAGAGTAACATGCTCTTCCTCAAGGACAAAATCTCTAACCTTATCTCCCCACCCCCCAAACTCAATATCCTCAAAGAACTGGGCATTACCCGTCTCAAAAATAGTCCTGGTAATGGGATCATAAAACTTATGCCCTCTTGACCTCTCAGATTATCCTACAAAATAACTATTAACTGTTCTAGAGTCCAGTTTCTTTTCATTTGACCTATAAGGCCTTGCCTCAGCTGGACAACCCCAAACATGGAAATGATTTATGCTGGGTTTCTTTCTAGTCCAAATTTCATAAGGGGTTTTAGTTATAGCTTTAGTGGGAACTCTGTTGAGTATGTAAGCTGCAGTTTTCAGTGCCTCTCCCTAGAGTGAATCTGGTAAAGTAGTATGACAAATCATACTCCTAACCATGTCCTTCAATGTACGGTTTCGTCTCTCAGCAACGCCATTCATGCTAGGAGTTCCTGGCATGGTGTACTGAGGAACAATCCTGCACTCCTCTAGGAACTTAGCAAATGGACCTAGACGTTGTTCACCGGAACCATCATATCTACCATAGTATTCACCACCACGGTCAGATCTAACGATTTTTATTTTTTTGCCTAATTGATTTTCAACTTCGGCCTTGTAAGATTTGAACACGTCTATTGATTGGGACTTTTCATGAATGAGCTAAAGGTAACCATAACGAGAGTAATCATCTATGAATGTGATCAAATATGTTTGACCATTTCTACATGGTGTAGGGAATGGTCCACAAATGTTTGTATATATCAATTCCAATAAATCTTAAGCTCTCTCAACACCTAATCTCCTTTTGTTCGTTTGTTTTCCCCAAACACACTCAACACAAATATCAGAATTTGAGCAATTAAGAGAATCAAGAATTCCATCTGACACAAACCTTTGAATTCTTTCTTTAGAAATATGTCCTAATCGCTTGTGCCAAAGTGACAATGAATTCTCATTGGTTAATTTTATTTTAGTACCACGAGTACTTACATGCAAGGTTTCATTATATGAGGTAATTATATCAAGTGAATATAGATTATCATAAACTGATAAAAGACCAGTTCCAATAAGTTTTGAATTTTGAAATAGACTGGACTGACTATTTCCATATGAACAAGAATAACCCAATTTGTCCAATGCAAAAATAGAAATTAAATTCTGCCCAATGACGGCACAACAAATGTCTCTTTCAAATTCAAATAAAAACAAGTCTTTAATAATCATCTAAAAGCGTCGATAGCCTCAACTTCAACCCGCTCACCATCACCTGCATAGATGTATCTTTCACCATCAATTGGTTTTCGGTAGCTCAGGCAACCCTGCACAGATACACTATGCGAGTAGTGGCACCGGAGTCTACCCACCAAGTGTCATTGGGTACCGAAATTAAATTAACCTCAGAACAAACAAGAGCAAGACACATACCCTTTTTCGCACGCCAGGGGTGGTACTTAGCACATTTCTTTTTCTTGTGATTAGTCCCTTTGCAAAAGAAGCTTTCGGATTCCTTAGTTTCTTCCTTAGTTTCCTTATGATGCTTTCTTTGAGGCCATGAATTTACAACTTCCTTAATTTTCCTTTTCTTGTTTCCCTTAGAGGTAGATGCCAAATGAGCACTTTCAGTCTTATCTTGCTTTATTCTCTCTTCCTCTTGAACACAGTGAGAAATGAGCTCATTGAGAGACCATTTCTCCTTAATGCAGTTGTAACTGACTTTTAATTGATTAAATTGAGAAGGAAGAGAGATCAAAACTAAATACACAAGCAATTCCTCAGGTAAAATAAGCTTTAGTGCACTTAGTTTTGAAGCAATATGAGACATTTCCCAAATGTACTCCCTTATGTTCCCTTTGCCTTTGTACTTCATGGAAACAAGAGTGCTCAAAAGAGTACTAATTTCCGCCTTTTCTTTTTTAGCAAAACGCTTTTCAAGTTCGGCGAGGAACGGTTTGGCATCAGCCTCATCAGACATTGTGCCCCTGAATGATTCTAGAATTGCACGTTTCATGATCATTAGACTCATGCGGTTAGAGCGTTCCCACCTCTCCATCTCCCTCTTTTCATCAAGGGTAGATGTGTCCTTAACAGTGGCGGGTTTCTCAGTCCGAAGTGCAAGGTTTAGATCCAAGCAACCGAGAACAATCATAACGTTTTCTTTCCATTCCTTAAAACTCGTTCCATTAAGCACTGAGATGCTATTAATATTAGCAGATATTGTAGCAGCAGAATTGTTGACTGAAAGAGAACAAAAATAATATAAATGATATGCTCTAGAAACTAAAATTATCTTGATAATTAATTTTAAATATTAGCAATCCCCATCACAAGATACCTAGCGCAACATCTCATCTTGTCTTTGGACATAAATTAGACTTGCAAGCGGTGCTCTTGGTGTAATAATAACATTTTGATAGTAAAATCATGTCAAATATTAAACCTTTCTTTGGACTGACTTTTTTTAATCACAAATTTTATTATCACAAATGTACTTAAATTTCGGCCAAATAATAACATTCCTTTGGGCCGATTATTATCCACATGAAATAAGAAAGTACACAATCATCTTAATATATGAGTTAATTAACAACTTCAACAAGAGAGGCTACTTTAGCAGCATGTTGTGTCAATTAACTAACCCAAATATTAGACATGCTAATATTAAATCAACACTGAAAAATAAAATTGGGAGAATTTTCCTGAGTCACATGCAAATGTGTTATGTACAATGATAATTTATAAAACTCATACTCAATCGTTGTGCAATCGCAAAATAGGGTTTACACATCCATAATGCATAATACATATTTTTTTCAAGCCGCAAATAACGATGACCGACAAAATAATCATTTCAAGTAATATTAAAAAATTATGCATTTTTGATAAAGCTGATGTTGGTCTTATGGGAGATCAGCACCACCCTTTGATTCAGGGCTTAACCGCCCAACCTGTTGGCACCACAAAGTGGTGCAGCCCCTCATGTCCATCCACCGCTCAGTAGTGGGGCTCTGCACTGCCGTAGTGAACTGTGGGGGGTGCCCCACAGGAATCTATCTTGACTTGGGGACTACGGAGTAATGGGTTAAATAGAGGGTGTCCACTTCCTTATCACCAATTGGTTTTAAGAAAGATATGGCTGCTATTTAACCACAGAACTCTGGAGTTAAGCGAGCCCGGGGTAAGAAAGCCCAAGGATGGGTGACCCACTGGGAAGTTTGTCGACAAGGGGTGAATCGATCCAACAAGTGGTATCAGAGCGAGGTCACAGGTGAATCTCTCGGCTGGTGCTGGGGGGGTGATTGTTGGTCTTATGGGAGATCAGCACCACCCTTTGATTCAGGGCTTAACCGCCCAACCTGTTGGCACCACAAAGTGGTGCAGCCCCTCATGTCCATCCACCGCTCAGTAGTGGGGCTCTGCACTGCCGTAGTGAACTGTGGGGGGTGCCCCACAGGAATCTATCTTGACTTGGGGACTACGGAGTAATGGGTTAAATAGAGGGTGTCCACTTCCTTATCACCAATTGGTTTTAAGAAAGATATGGCTGCTATTTAACCACAGAACTCTGGAGTTAAGCAAGCCCGGGGTAAGAAAGCCCAAGGATGGGTGACCCACTGGGAAGTTTGTCGACAAGGGGTGAATCGATCCAACAGCTGATATTGACCGTAATTACATATAAGTATTTTATTACCAAAACCGGTAATCTATAATAAAATCTTATAAACACCAATGAGGGTTAGGGTATTTTTTGGATAATAAATGTGTTGGTGTAACATCATAGCTTTATGCAATTGTACTCTAAGCTTCATTAGTTGTGTTGAAACTTTTCCCTCGTCTCTCCGTCAAAACTCCGGGCAGTTGCACTCGACGCTTGATTAATTGTATTGAAACTTTTCCTTTGTCTTTCCGTCAAAACTTCTGACATCCTCCTCTCCACTCAACCCACCTCACCAGTTTCTTTTCGTTCCAGCTCATTGAGACCCTAGAGATTGGCTTGGTTAGACACCGAGCAGAGCCGGTCTTGGGGCATGGGCAAAGGGGCATGCGCCCAGGGCCCATTGCTCCACTAGGGCCCATGAATTTCATAATTATGTGTATATGAATATATATTAATATTAATTATATATAAATAAAAATCTATAAAAAATAAAAAATAAAATCAGAGTTATACTCTGTATTTTTTTTTATACTTTCAATTCATTTTAAAAAAGTCCACACTAGAATTCATTGAAATCGTACTTCACCATTTCTTTTGATTCAGTATGGTTTAGTGCATAAATGTTATTTTGATCTACTTCTCTCATTTATACTCATCACGATTCGTTGATAGTATTTCACTAATTTTCTCTAATTACTTTATTTTAGTGAAAGATTGAACTATAGTATTCATGATTTAATTTAGAAACTTGCAGTTCATTTTAAAATAAAAAAAGTTACTTCGTATAGGCACAATATATATATATATATATATATATATATATATATATATATATATATATCTTTCACTTGTTTACCTAATTCAAAATTCTTTATTGCAACTAATAGTTGTACTAGTTTCATTATGTCCATTTAGGTACATTGTATCCTCAAATGTCACATATAAAATAATTCAATAATTTTTGTCTAATTAACTGCTTTAATTTATTGATTTCTTTGATGTGTTATACTCGTATTTGGATGACAAAATTGTTTAACTTTACTATATATTTTTATAACAAAAAATTATTATAAGTAATAAATATTCACACGGTATCCCCGAGGCCTACTCTATTTGTATTGCCCCGGGCTCAAAAAATGTCAGGACCGGGCCTGACACCGAGGATCACAATTGTCCCGCTTACAGGGAAGCAGGGGTTTGCGTTATTCGCTTTCTTTGTTTCTGTTGAGGTTTATTCCTTCAACCCTTGGACCCAACACGTAAGCCCAAAGATTTCGAATGGAGTGAGTGTGTGGATATCTAGCCCAACAACTATGAGATGGATCAGGAAACAAAAGTAATAGCAGGCAATGTAAGTAGGTATTATTAACTTCGTAATAACTCCCCTAAATACAATCCACTTGCTAAAAAAGGCACGTCGGCCGTTCGTCTTACAAGGCACTTAGAAATGCTGCAAGTAAGAATGCTGAAGCTAGTATGCTAAGAATAGAAAGTTGCCAACCCTTTACAATGAAATAAATGCTCCTATTTATACCCGCCAATGGGCAGGTAGCTGTACTGACGTGGCAGCCTGTGGACCGCTGGTGTCCCAACTACCAAATCTTTAGCATTAAATGCACTTCCCGCCAGAATCTAGGTTTCCCGCCGGATCAGTGGGGACGTTCGTCCACCCGGGAAGTGAGTTGGATTGCTCCGAGTGACCCTCAGATGATACCGGCTGTTCGTCTCCTGGCCTTGATAGATACTCACCATGTGAACTGGGTTTCCTCCGATGACTACAGGCTTGCACTGGGGACGTTCGTCGCCATCCCTGGTGGCCCGTGGTTCTGCTCCTTGCCCATGCATAGACGTTCGTCGGGATGAGCTGCTGGGCCTGAGCCCCCCAACACCAGACGTTCGTCCATCCTCAAGGAATATGGGCCTGTGGGCTGGCCTAGTGTTCTAACCGGACGTTCGTCTGGCAGAATGGGTTAGTGGGCCGGACCTCGGCTTGGGCCCTTAACCCAACAGTTTCCTTTCGTCTTCTCCTTGAAGCGTAAGCTATAAATATCATCTTTTAATGAAATTTGATGATTTCTTTTAAAGAATTCATTGGTTGTGCAATCGAGGGCTCGATATGTACTAACGCATGTTCTTTCCTACTCCACTGAAGCGCAAGCTTTATAACATTACAGTTGATCTATTCTTTGGTTGTATTATTAAGGAGCTCACAACTAGAAGAAAACCAAACCCATTAAGCTTTTAGTTTATATCAACTGTAGTTTAATTGTTAGATCTATAATAAATATATCCTGAAACGCATTTCTTAATCTTTCAAGTTAATATAATTGGCACACCATGTACTTCAATACTCATTAGTAGAGTTAGATTTCAGTAGATTAGTTGTGATTTGTGAAGTATTCCATTTGTACCAAACTACTACCAACAAGGACTTTATTGACTACTATGTGTTTGCAAAACTGTCTAGGAGACACTTTTAGGTGGTTTAGATTATTTGGATTTCTTTCAGTAACGTAGGTGTTTAAATATGATATTTGCGCCAATTATTTTAATAAATCTGTGTACTAAAAGGTAGACTCTAGATTAATGCGGTCAAATAGTGAAAGTGAAAATGATATATGCAATAAAAAACTTTTGCCTGGAAATAGTTTACTATTTTTCAAGATGTTCTTCTTTTTAAAATGGATTGATGAGGACATTGATTTCCTTTTTTCATATTTTTGGGTACAGAAGCGCTGGACCAGGACAATTTATATACTCTGATTCCAAAACAACTTTTCTAAATTAGACAGTATGTACTATGTAAGCACATGTGTGATCTTTACTAATAATTTTGGACTGAGACTAAGGTTGAAGTATTTATAGTACTAGCAAAAGAGCAAATTTAGCCTAGGAACTATTAATAACTACTCCGTATAATAAAGCTCCTACATAATACATAAACTGATAAAAGATCTTTTTAATTATCAAATATTAAAAGTTACTTTTGTATAGTTTTGAGTTGAGGGAAGATATCGTACTTCAATAAAGACTAGAAGAGCATGAAACTTTGGAGCAATATAAAGCAAGAAAGCAGTATTTCCAGCAAACTAATCAATATATCCTTCATTTCCGGTGTACACAAAGATTGAGGCTCCCTAATGACAATAGTCCTTGTTGATGAGGTACTTCTTGTTGGGTGTGTTTCGGAAAATAAAGAAAATTAATTAAAATAAATTAATTAAATAAAAGGAAAAATTGATAGTAATAATCCCAACTATTGGTGGTCCGCCTATAATAATCCCAGGTATCGATTATTTCAGAATAATCCCAACTTTAGGGACCTTCCGCCAATAATGGTCCCAATAAATAAATTGTTGTAGTTTCTCAAGTGGATGAGAAGAGATATAACAAGTAATCCCTATAAATAATCCCAACTTTTAATTTTTACGCTTAATTTCTATTTAAAATTCACTTTTTATAGGAGGTAATATTTGGTCATGGACCATTATTGGCGGACGGTCCATATAGTTGGGATTATACAAAAATAATCAATAGTTGGGATTATTATCGGCGGACCGGCAATAGTTGGGATTATTATTTTCAATTTTTCCTAAATAAAATGACAAGAGAAAAACAAGAAAGGAGATGTAGCAGAATTAGTCAAAGCTCGTGCTGCGCACGATTTCCTTAAAACGTATTTGTTGCCTCCCACGGTGCTAGGAGCGTTGCAACAATCGTTTCCCAGGATACGATTACTACGAACTAGTGTTTGAGCACACAAACAAGAGTTCCAACGAACGAGAACAGCGTATGAACACTTAGGGAATTTTCATATTGCTAGCAGTGTGTTTTAGAGGTGCAAAACGTGCATGGAGTGTATGAATTCGTGTGTTGATGCAAACCACCTATCAGCCATTATATAGGAGGATTTGTTGTGTGTAAATGGTGAATTAATGGACCTGAACGTTGGACATCAATGACCAGTCCGTTGGGCATTGAATCGTCCATGAACTGTCTATTTAACGCTGCATTAAAAGATAAGAACGTTGGGCATTTATTGCTGTAACGGTTCAGAAGTGCCACCAGAAGACCTCCCCAACAGAACACCCCTGGGAGGGTTTCTGTCTGAACCCGACAGAACACCCCTAGGAGGGTTTCTGTCGAGGCCTTCTGCCCGGCGCGCGTGGAGAGAGCCTTTACCCTTAGTAATCTTAACTCCTTAAGGGGGGAGTCCCTTTATAAAGGGTTGCAAATCCCTTGGGTTTCCCGGTGTGGGAAATTAACACACTAGAAACCCATCCTTTTTCCTTCTAACGGGTAAACTTCGAAAAACAATTTCTCATTCACCCGTTATCCGTTTTGAGCGTACCATATATCGAATTGTAGCCCTAAGCAAGGACAATCCGAAACCACTTTGACCCGACCCAAATCGGAAGTGGACCCCACTCAAAAAATTGCCCCAAAATAGCCATTTAATGCAATTTTTCACACATTTTTCCAACACTTCATATGAAAAGTAGCCTCGGGAGTAGAAAAGTAAAGTGGTCAAGAGTTTGGGGAAAGTACTTGACTTCATATGGCAACTTTGGGTCTGAAGGTTGGGCTTGTTTCTTCACTACTAAAGCTTTGTAGCTTCCTGGGAAATACTGAAATAGTTTGCCTTTGACTCTCCCAATGTTGAGAAAACAGCAAAGATGAAGAAGATAGAGAGAAGAGATAAAGATGATAATGTGTTCATTTCCTGAATGATTTGTTTTTGTGCGTGTAGTTCTGAAAGTGCATGTCATATAGGGAGCTTGTCATTTCGTGTTGTCCAGCTCAGTCAATAGTTTTGAGGACAATTTTTTTAATAGTGATTTGGAATGGTTGTCAAAAAAATAATTCATTTCAGAATGATATTCAAATTAGGCTAAAGGGTCAAATGCGTACATGAACTAATTTAAAGTGTTCAATTAGCCCCTTATATAGGAGGTTCTGCCCGGTCGTCGCCAATTGGGGTGGTTCCCGGTTGAATTTTTGATGAAATTTTTTAAGCATTTTCTTCATTAAGCCTAGTTTACCCATTTCAAATTTCAGCTAAAAATTAAATCGGCAAGGCAGTCAAATGATTTTCCAAAATGTACTGCGCTGTTTAACTGCGTAGTTATCTTCAAAAAATCATTTGACTGCCTTCCCGGTTGAATTTTTAGCTGAAATTTGGTATGGGTAAACTAGACTTAATAAAGAAGATGCTAAAAAAATTTCATCAAAAAATTCCACCGGGAACCGCCCCAATTGGCGACGTCCGGGCAGAACCTCCTATATATGGGGCTAATTGAACACTTTTAGTTAGTTCATGTACCTATTTGACCCTTTAGCCTTCAAATTATGCATCATCAATTTCAAACCTCACATCATGCTTGGCAAAATTGATACATGCATTTTATTAAACACTCTATCGTTTTCAGTTTTCCACCTTTCAGAGATTAATTTAAGCTTCTATGTACTTTTTTTTAAAACTTTTTTAGGCTAGAGAGATTATTATTTACTATTTCCCATTACGTCTATTAGTACAAATGTTCTCCAACCAAACATTGTTATGTGTGTTATGTGTGTTTTCATATATCACATGCTACAGTTTCATGTGAACCTTACTCCTATTATGGTTATTATAATCATCTTGGCTGCTTTATTTCCATACTTACAATCTAGCATAAAAATACTTTATTTTTATGATTCTTTATCAATAGATAACAAGCTATATATTCAAATATTTTATTCATTTTACTCATATATTCATTCAACCTAAACGGAGGAACTAATGTCCCAACAATAGCCTTGGGCATTACAACGAACGCGCAACGCGCGTTACTAAACTACTAATCACATATATGTCTTGATTACCAAAAGCTGAAAGAAAAATCCAATATTGATTCACCGAAAAATTGGAAAGAAATCAGAATTTAATTTGATACTCATCAAATACAACCGATTCTTCCATATCTCGATAACCTTCCAAAAACTGACTACATGGTTTCACTAAATATACTCCGTAATATTCAGCAATATTCCGATTACCACTTACTGCTTTTTAAAACCATGCTTTTTCAAAACCAAAGTGAATATGATAAATTAACTACTGAATCATGCATCTTTCAAAAAATTATCAATCGTAAGATTGACTACTCAAATCAAACAAAATACTAAAGATTAACTATATGGCACTACAAGATCGGCAACGAGAAAGAAAGAAACAAATCCACAGTAATTCTTCGAATCAATTGAGCACCAGCCACCAGCCGAAAGAAAAAACACAGAATAAAAAAATGGAAAATCCTTACGGATTCTATCTCAATATCCCAGATCCAATTAGTCGGCATCTCATATCCCAGATGTATCAAACACACGATCCAATCGTTTTGATTATGGATGGACCCGGGCCGGTTCGGGCCCGGTTCGGGCCTAGGCCCGGCCGGGCCTCGGGTCTGTTTTGTTGGGCCCGAGCCCGAACCGGTGGCCACCGGTTCCGGGTCCGGTTCCGGGCCGTTCCGGGCCGGGCCGGTCGGGCCACCCGGTTTATTTTTTTTTTTTTTTCCTTTCTTCCCCCACCCCCCCACCCCCCACCCCCCCAAACCCCCCCAAACCGGCCTAAACAGATAGCCCAAGCCCAACAGCCCAAAACAAATGAAAAAAATTAAAAAAAAAATAGATTTGGCCCGGACCCGGGCCCGAACCGGCCGGGCCGGGCCGTCAAAACCATGAACCGAGCCCGGAACCGCCCCACCCCCGGGCCTCCGGCCCGAACCGGACCCGGACCCGGATAACCGGGCCGGGCCGGGCCCGCACAGTAGCGGGTCGGGCCGGTCCCGGGCCGGGCGGCCCGAACCGAGGCCATGCCTAGTTTTGATTAACGATTAACTACCGATCTAATATACGAATATGTGAGTATGAATATATGACTATATGAGGAACAAATTGCATAAATGCAAAATCGCATTACCCTTATTTCGATAATTCAGTAGATTATATTGACTCCAATAATCCTCAAGAAAAAGGTGTAGCCATTCAGCCTCTTCAGTGCATTTATCCAAGGCTATTAGCTTAAATTCCATTGTGGTTTTAGCTATTATCATTTGTTTCGAGGATTTCCACGACACGACTGCACTTCCCAAAACGAAAAGATATCCACTTGTGGACTTTGAGTCCTTAATGTCTGGTATCCAACTAGCGTCGCCATACCCTTCAAGTACAACTAGATATCTGACATAGTGCAGTCCAAGGTTTTGGGTTTTTCGTAAATACTTCAAAACTCTTACTATTGCCTTTCAATGTTCATCACCAGGGCTACTAGTATATCTACTTAGCTTGTAAATCACAATGGAAATATCAGACGTGGTACAACTCGTTAGATACATCAAGCTTCCAATAATCCTAGCATATTCTATTTGAGAAATAATATTGTCCATGATTTTTGGACAGGTGTACGTTTTTATCTAATTGTGTCCTTGCTTCTTGATAACAACCATTCCTTATTAAACTTCGTAAGAGTTTTATCAACATAATGAGATTGGCTTAGCACAAGACTGTCTGCTCCCCTAATTATTTTAATCCCAAGGATTAAATCGGCCAACCCACTTCCTTCATGTCAAATTTAGAATATAACATGCTTTTGGTAGAATTAATCATTAGATTATTGCTACCAACGACAAGTATATCATCTACGTATAAACACAAAATGACATAGCCGTCTATTGTGCTCTTCGCATAGACGCATTTGTCACTTGCGTTTATTTTAAACACATTGATTAACATCGAATTATCGAACTTTTTGTGCCACTTCTTAGGGGCTTGTTTCAATCTATACAATGACTTAATCAATTTACACACTTTCCTTTCTTGGCCCGGAACAATAAATCCCTCAGGTTGTTCCATATAGATTTCTTCGTCTATATCACCGTTTAGAAAAGCGGTTTTTACATCCATTTGATGAACTTCCAGTTTCCGCAATGCGGCAATGGCTAGTATCATCCTAATGGAGTTTATTCTTGTTACAGGAGAATACATGTCAATGTAATCATGGCCTTCACATTGCTTGTATCCCTTGATTACAAGTTTGGCTTTGTACTCATCCATGGAACTGTCAGGTTTCATTTTCCTTTTAAAACTTCATTTGGATCCCAAAGGTTTACATCCCGGAGGAAGATCAACCAGTTCCCAAGTGTGATTTTGTAGTATAGGATCCACCTCACTTTTGATGGCTTCTTTCCACATTGGACCTTCGGTAGATGTCACGACTTCCTTGTAAGTCTGAGGCTCATTTTCTACCAAACATGTTAGAAAATCCGGTTCATTTTCTACCATATAAGTTAGAATGTTTGAATCAAATTCTACCAAGTAGGTAAGAAAATCGGGGACGGAGGATTTATTTATTCTGGCACGTTTTCTACGTCTGGCTTTGGCTTCATCTCCAGACCCCTCACCTGTATTTTTATTGTGCACATGCTCAATAAAAATACAATCCACCGTTTTTGGACCTATTTTTATTTTGTTAGGTGTTGGTACAAGCACCTTTGCAAGACACCCCCACACTTTTAAATATTGATAGGAAGGTTTTCTACCTTTCCACGACTCGTAAGGAGTTTTATCATATTTTTTCCAGGATACCTTATTTAAAAGGTAGTTGCTTCCCAAGACTGCTCCGCCACACACATTTTGTGGCAGACCCAACTTCTAGCATCACATTCATCATATCTTTCAATGTGTGATTCTTTTGTTCGGCAACACCGTTTGATTGGGGTAAATACGGTGTTGTACGTTCATGTACTATACCCACGTTCGCGCAAAAGTCACTTATTAGTGCTTCATATTCACCACATTGATCATTTCTAACTGTTTTAATCCGTCTACGAAGTTGGTTTTCCACTTCATTCTTATAAAGAATGAATTTATCGATTGCTTCGTGTTTATTTTTCAACAAATAAAAACAGCAATAATGAGTGTTGTCATTGATAAAGGCAATAAAATATCTATTACCGCAAAGTGTTTGTATTGATTTAAATAAAAAATGTCACTATGAAATAATTCAACTTGTTCCATTTTTCTTTCAATTGATTTGAAAGATGTTTTCGTTAGTTTTGCCTCAACACAAATTCCACATTTGTGCTTCACATCAATTTGAATTTAGGGTTGTGTTCCATGTCAACTAATCTACGTATAGATTCAAAATTAATTTGTCCTAGTCTACCATGCCATAAATTGGATGACTCAACCAAGTAAGCAGAAGGAATTTCATTATTATTATTATTATTATTATTATTATTATTATTATTATTATTATTATTAGTCATTACATTGAGCTTAAACAACCAGTCAACAACATATTCCTTGCCCACATACATTCCCGATTTGGACAAAACTAACTTGTCTTACTCAAAGACCATGCAAAAATCGTGTTTGTTCAACAATGATCCAGAACTCAGATTTTTGCGTATTTCCGGAACGAAAAACATCTGGTTAAGAGTCAGATCCTTGTCTGAAGTCATCTTCAAGACCACCTCACCTACTCCTTCCGCCGCAGAATGGGCTGAATTTCCCATCCACATCCTCTCTCCATTTGATAGTTCAAAGGTTATGAATAGCTCCAGGTTTGAGAAAATGTGTCGAGTAGCTCCGGTGTCCACAAACTACTCATTGGAGTTTGATCCAACAAGGTTGACCTCGGTCACCACGGCAGAGAGGATTATTTGTTCATCCTTTTACCCACCTTGCAACATGTTGACTTCA